AAAACAAATAAAAAATCATGATCATTTCGTTTGCATTAAATGATTATAAACTTCGTTATTATTCCAAGAAGTTTATTTCATTAGATTTTATGATGATTTTTAAATAAATTAAGTGGTTTTTTTTTGTTGCAAATCGTTCCGCTTTCCGATATTGGGTATTTTCGGTTGCGAGTCAAGTTTGATGGAGCGTGGAGTGCGTGTTTTTGTGTGTTTCGAGAAAAGAGATCGAGTTGAAGGAGACACAAAAAATGAAGGTGTTTGGAGTGAAGGTATAAGAAAAGGAAGCATTTGCCCTGAATAGTTGCGATATTAAACTAGCTGTACTAGAGGTGCGAAGAATTGGGGCCGCAACGAAGGGAGAAGACGAGTGCAAGAAGAAGTATGGAAGAAAAAGAGGATCACGAAGGAGAGCTCCACCTATTGGACTTACAGTTAGGAAGTTGGCGCTTGCTACAAGCTAGTTACAAGCAAATGCAAGAATAATAATAATAACAGCAGCAATGCAGCAGCAGCAATGATTACTTTCTAATGAAGTCGAAACGCAGCCATTAGATTTGCGCTCCTTCTTCACTCCTCCTCCTCCTCCTCCTTGCAGCTGCAAAGAAATTGGCTCGCATCTAATCAGGAGAGGCCGAGATGCGCCTCCGCAGGAAACCCAAACGCTTGGAAAGCTCTCGTCTGACTTTCCTGCAAGGAAAATAATTATCATCGCCGCATTATTTATTGCCGATTCCGACGAGGGAATTATTATTAAACCGGACCCGGGGATTTGCATAATGAAGAACGCGCGGCTCCATTTATTTTATCGCCCGTCGCCCCCGCGAATCCTGCTCACACCTTTCCCTTCTTTCCACCCATTGCACTTAGTTTATAATTGCAACTCTGTCCATTGTAATTCTCTTTTTTTCCACTGAAATTCATCGAAGCTTCTGATTCTGAAATACCAAGAAATATATTATAAAATTATCCTCGACGACGTATCGAATTATAATCTACAAACGCGCATCCTGTTCTCGTGATGCAGATTAGCAATTCGAGACCTCTCGCAATAATTTACTCGATCCTATTTTACGTAATTTGCAACAGTTTGTGTACAAAACTGAAGCTTCGTGCGTGCATTTTATATACATAAATATTCTTAGATTGGCGTCGAAGATATTTACAAACCGCATGAGGTTTTTTACAGTAAACTGCAGGAATGATTGACGAGGTGCGACATTACCATACGAGATTTAATCGTCGATGATGCCCAAGTTAAGATTTTAGTATCACCAAAATCATCCGTGAAATGCATATTTTCAGATTTAGTTATGAATAGTTGATTATTGTGTATTATAACCATACATATTATATTATTAATGGTCATAAATACAAATCAGTTTGTACTTTTCACAATCATTTTTAAATTACCTTCTTTTCAANNNNTGAAACCATCGAAATTTGATAAACGTTTTTCAGGCTGTAAATTAGATGAAAAGTATATTTTTATAAATTTAGCATTTTACGAAACTAATCATACATTTTTCAGATTTTCATAAGTCCAGTAGAGATTTTCATCAGGTTTGAGTAAATTTATGTTTTTTAAAGGTTTTTCTCAAATTAGTACCAATTGGGTCAATGATTTAAAAAATAACAATGTTAGCAAATTGCAAAATTCACAATTAAAACATATTTTCCGTTGCATCGTCAACAGATTTAGTTATGAATAGTTGATTATTGTGTATTATATCCATACATATTATATTATTAATGGTCATAAATACAAATCAGTTTGTACTTTTCACAATCATCTTTAAATTACCTTCTTTTCAACTTCTTACATGATAATATTGCAAATAGTTAAAAATTATACTTGTAAATTCAAAATCTACCTAAAATATAATAGTTTTAGATAGATTTTGTATTAGTTTATAGAAATTTCAGAGATTCTTTTGAAACCATCAACATTTGATAAACGTTTTTCAGGCTGTAAATTAGATGAAAAGTATGTTTTTATAAATTTAGCATTCTACGAAACTGATCATATATTTTTCAGATTTTCAGAAGTCCAGTAGAGATTTTCGTTAGGTTTAAGTAAATTTATGGATTTTAAAGGTTTTTCTCAAATTAGTACCAATTGCGAAATTCATAATTAAAATTAATTTTATAAATATTTGATACAGTTTGATTTAGTAGCAAAGTCTAAACACTTGATTGATACTTTTACCATGATAATTTCAATAGTTACGTGTATTTTGACAAAAATCGTCTTAACCAACGTTGTAACAATGAGGATACGGAATGAAGTGAATGTTAGAAAGTTGACTTTGCGTTGCTGTTCGTTCGCAGCGAGTATTTATTTTCTTTTTGCGGGCGGCCCGAAACAAAGAGATTCTATTTTGATGATGGAGGTTGCATGCAGTCTGTGCAGAAGAAGAGACGAGGCATGCATGAATACATGTGTCTCTCGGAGTGAGTGCACTAAAAAGGGGGGAAAGTGAGCGGAGGGCAGCAGAGAAGGCGAAGCAGTGAGAGAGAGAGGAACGGGACACGGCCTAGGTATAGAAGGTATATACAGTCATCGACAGCAGCAGCCGCCTCCAGTTTCGAAGCCCCACCACGATCTGAACCGCCGTCGCCGCCTCCATCTCTTCATCATCATCATCCTCCTTCTGCTCCCCTCATCATCATCGTCCTCCTCTTCACACAAATTCTCGCTCGGTCTTCGGTTACATGTGCGTCGATGTTAATGAACTACGATTAGTTTTATGGCATCAATATAACCCGAGCGCCGCCGGATGAATGCGGGCGGCGCGCGGAGCGTCGGCGACGTCGCGTTTTATATTTAGAACGGACGCCGGC